TTAATGTCAACACCAACATGGTTGTCACTTATATCGTTGAATTATTCATTTCTAACTACATCAAATTCTGTTGGCTGTTGGTTCTCAACCATATATTAGATATTTGATGTGTAGAATAGTTCTTCTATTCTTAAGTATATAAGGCATAGGTGCAGCCTCTGTTTTCCAATGCTGACAGAGAGAACAAACTTGTAATCAATTTCTTAAGAGAAACTTAATCCCAGTGGCTGCCCCGTGGATGTAGACTGATGAGTGCATTGCTCTAAGTCGAACCACGTAAATTGTTGTGTATTCTTCTTCTTTCCTAATCGTTTTCTCTTAATTTTCTTGCTTGTTTCTTGTTTAAAAGAATATAACAGAGAGTGAATCCCGTGTGTGTTTATCATCTCATTCTTGGCGTAACAAGTGGTGCGGTGAACGTGGAGCGTCTAGCTATGGGTTCAACCAAATATGAGGTGGAAAAATTCACTGGTCAAAACGACTTTGGTCTATGGCGATTAAAGATGAGAGCCCTTCTTGTTCATCAGGGGTTGGTTGATGCTCTTGCTGGTGAAGCCAAGGCCGAAAATGCTACGGTTGATGAGGAAAGGAAGAAAATGCAAGAAAAAGCCCACAGTGCTATTATCCTGAGTCTTGGTGATAAAGTCCTTAGGCAAGTCTCTAAGGAAAAGACTGCTGCAGGGATTTGGTCTAAACTCGAAAGTTTGTATATGACCAAATCTTTAGTAAATAGACTTTACTTGAAGCAATCTTTGTATTCTTTTAACATGAATGAGAATAAACCAGTGGGTGAACAATTAGACCAGTTTAATAAGTTGATTTTGGATCTTGAGAATATTGATGTCACCATAGACGATGAGGATCAAGCTTTGTTATTGTTGTGTTCCTTACCTAGGGCCTATTCCCACTTCAAAGAAACCATGTTATTTGGAAGAGACTCGGTATCAATTGATGAGGTGCAAGCTGCCATTAACTCAAAGGAGTTGAATGAAAGGAAGGAGAAAAAACCCACAGTAAATGGTGAAGGATTGACAGCTAAGGGCAAGACCTCCAAGAAATATAGTAAACCTGATAAGAAGAAACCAAAGTCAGAAAAACAGAAAGATGGTGGAGAATCCACCTTCACAATCAGGTGTTATCATTGCAAGAAAGAGGGTCACACAAGGAAGGTATGTCCTGAAAGGCTTGTTAATGGTGGAAACAAAGAAAGAGGAAAACATTCTGCAAATGCTGTTACTGTACAAGATGAGGGTTATGAATTAGCTGAAGCTCTGGTTGTGTCTAAAGATAATTCAGAATTAGGAAGCATCATATACGGCCTACACAAGGTCCATGGCTCAGAGAGTAGAGGAAGATGAAGAACACACCACACCAAAAGCCATGATCATCATGTGTGTGGATTTGAGCCCTCTCCTTAGTTTGTTACTTTCTTTTCCTATTTTGCCCTTGTATTTTGGGGTACATTAGATATTATAATTTTTTTTATATTTTTATTTAGCCTTTATATTATGGGGCAAAATTAGTCTTAGGATTTATTTTGGGACTTAAACCTTGACTTGTTAGGTCAAAGTCCATTTCTTTCTTTTTCTATGCCTAAGGGTACTTTAGTCTTTTAGGAGAGATGAGAGCCATTTCATTTAGGCTGCATTTAGGGTGTATTTGGACTTAAAAATTTTGGCCAAATGCTCCCAAGAAACCTTAGATTCCCTCCTCTCTCTATAAGTACTCTAGGTCATCCACCTTGTAGCCACTTTGGAAATTAATGATATTGAGTGAGCCTTGTGCCTCAACATCCCTTCCTTAGTCTCCTAGGAACTCCACGACCCCCTTTCCTCTCTTCTCTTCCTTGAGTGAACTTGGGTCTCCCTTGGTTGGCCTTCATCATCCTAAGTGAAGTGAGCTAGCCTAAAAGAGGTAAAACACCAAACACCATCCTTTCCCTTCCTGTAGACCCCTAAAATTGTCCGGGTCGGAAATAAAGCTTGAAGACTCTCGAAGACTGAAGGAAGATCAGCCAGAAGGACTCCTGGAAGGCCCTAGGAGGGTTCTCTGTAGGTCTAGAGGTCTTAGAATAGCTCAAAATAAGGAAGTGGAGGGAATGAAGCCCAATACGGGTGTCTTTGGGAAGGCAAGGGCCACTATTTATAGACTTTCAGGAGGGACCGGAACGACTTGTTCTGAATCCGGAATGGCCCGTTCCGGGGTTACAATTTTACTCCCAACGGCCAACTTCGGAACGGGCTGTTCCAATTTCGGAACGTCCCGTTCTGGGCTAGAATTTGGAAACGGCCCGTTCCGGGCTAGAAATTATAATTCTTTTTAATAGGTTGGAACGGTCCGTTCCAGTTTGGGAACGGGCTGTTCCAATTTTTGGGAACAGCCCGTTCTAGGCTAGAATTTATAAGTCTTTTTGGCAAGTTGGAACGGCCCGTTCCATTTTGGGAACGGCCCGTTCCAGGCTAAAAATTTTAGGTCTTTCTAGAAGGTTGGAACGTCCCGTTCCAGTTTTGGAACGGCCCGTTCCAGACTAGAAATTATTGTTGTTTTTGGAAGGTTGGAACGGCCCGTTCTAGTTTTGGAACAACCCGTTCCGGACTAGAAATTATAGTTGTTTTTGGAAGGTTGGAACTGCCCGTTCCAATTTTGGAACAGCCCATTCCGGACTACTAAAATCATATAAAATTACTAAATTCCCCTCCATAAAAATATAAAAAATGAGGTGTTACATTTGGCTTACATATTTTGTCTTTTTTATTCTTTCTTGTATATACCTTTTTTGCTTTTTTTTAAACTTAGCCTGGAACGGGCCGTTCCCAAAATGGAACGGGCCGTTCCAACTTGCCAAAAAGACTTATAAATTCTAGCCTAGAACGGGCTGTTCCCAAAAATTGGAACAGCCCGTTCCCAAACTGGAACGGACCGTTCCAACCTATTAAAAAGAATTATAATTTCTAGCCCGGAACGGGCCGTTTCCAAATTCTAGCCCAGAACGGGACGTTCCGAAATTGGAACAGCCCGTTCCGAAGTTGGCCGTTGGGAGTAAAATTGTAACCCCGGAACGGGCCATTCCGGATTCAGAACAAGTCGTTCCGGTCCCTCCTGAAAGTCTATAAATAGTGGCCCTTGCCTTCCCAAAGACACACCTACAAACACCTAGACTAGGGGTGGGTAGATGGACCCGGGTCCGCGAACCGGTCCGTAAGCCCGCGGATTTCACGGATAACGGACTCGTTTTTTCAAATCCGTATGATTATGTCTAATTTTTGAGCCCGGTCCGTTAAGTCCGCGGACTTGGCGGATTTAATCCGCGGGCTCGCGGGCTAGTCCGCGGACTTCACATTTAATATTTTTAAATATTATAGGAAGTGGAATAGGAGGTTTGATGAATTTATGACCAAGATTAACTTCAATAGAAGTCAATATGATAATTGTGTCTATTTTAAATTTCCTGATAATGCAGTGCTGATTATTCTTTTGCTTGTTTCTTGTTTAAAAGAATATAACAGAGAGTGAATCCCGTGTGTGTTTATCATCTCATTCTTGGCGTAACAAATTCAACTCCAAAAACGTGGTTCTGAGGATTGCCTTCATTGTGGAGATTCAAAAGACCGATATACTCAGCTGAGGTCGTGCCATTTACTCCTCTTGATGGTGTGAACAAGAAGACAAAGCCATGACCAGTGATAAAGTTTTTTATGGGGGCAATTGAGAAAATGAAGGAGGTTGCAAAGGGTAAAAAGGTGGAAGAGTTGGCTAGTTTGGTAGGTATTTTTTGAGGGAAAAAAGCACGGCCTGTGGAGAAGAAACTTTGATTTGTGAGAGTTAGAATGGAGGTCTCAATAGAGGCATTTCCATATAGGACGATATTTGTGGAGTTGAGGTTTGTGTTATAGACAAATTCAGTGGTGGAAACTGAACTCAAAGTGGCTACAGTGTGAAGAAGAATTACAAGGAGCTTCAGTGGAGACATTGCAAGGGACTGAATGGAACAGGAACTTTGTCAAATTGAAATTGGTTGCTGCATATGTACGAATATTTAGCTCTTGTATTGATGCCGGCCCCCGCAGGTCATTCATATTTATTGCAAGTCAACGCATCAATTCAAGCATGCTTTGAAAACTTTGCATTTATTTCGTAGGAAGGAGACACTAAGGTGGAACTTTGTGTAGAATGGGTCTAGGCAGTTTTTCTTTTGAGAGATCTCTGTTCTACTTTGTGTAGAACTTTTGTATAACCTATTTCTTTACTTATATTAATATATGACATATGCTTTTCAAAAAAAAAAAAAAGGTGGAACACATACGCACATTAATATCTAAAGTTCAATATTTGTCTCATATAAACACTTCGTAACTCTATGTTTATTTAAAGATATTTAAAAATTATTAATATTTATTAAATCAATTTATATTATATTTAGTCTTCAAAACTTAAAATTTTAGATTCAAATATTAGATTTATAAAAATAGTTAATTTTATTATTATTTTAAATTTTAAAAATAAGATAATCCAAAAATTATGTGTACGAAAATAAAGAATTATTTTTATAGATATACATAAATGTGATATTTAGGTGTGCTTGGTATGACTTAGAATGGAGAAGTAAAGAAAAGGAAGAGTCTACCACGTGTAAGGTCATTTTCCAACTCCAATTTTTTTCTCTTTATTTCACTTTCCAAAGAGCAAAGAAAATGTAAAGAAAAAAAATGAAAATTTAGAAATCATTTTTCTTCCGGAAGTGGATTCAGGATTCTTTTTTGTCTAATCGATGAACATGTGAATCAATAAAAAATTAAAATCTTGGATATTCACCTGTGTTAACTATTAAATATTTAGAGGGATAATTTTTCTAACTATATTAGTCCTCCCTAAGTCGAACAATACTCGTTGCAAAAACAAATGAAATAATATATATATTTAAGTCATTGCATGCTGTCATTATATAGAAATGTGATAGAATATAATGAAATAACAAATATTATCATGGAACATTGTTTCAGTAGTAAAGACAAAGAAAATTCAGTGTCAAATTAATTTTTATGTTGCGTTGAAGATTTATCCAATAAGCTGTATTCAAAGAACTACAACACCAAAGAAAGAAATTTATTAAAAAAAATGACACAAAAAAAAAAAAACAATTTTATGCAAATCTTGGCAGCCTCAATCATGGAGAGTTGAGATCACTATTTTAGCGAAACTCAAGACATTTGGAGCAACAAGTGCTGTCACTTACAAATGGAAATGTTTTTCACTTCACAGCTGCAGCCTTGGCTCCCTGTAATTTCAATATTAGGATAGCGATTGAATCATTTTCAGCTCTCACCTTCCTTCTGAGACAAACTCTGACTCCAGCTGTGGGCTGGGACAAGAGATGCTTAAAGATGCTGTAGAATAAAACTTGGTCTGCAAAATTTCATCAAAGGTAGGATAATTTACATTGGCAGAACTTGTAGAACTCTTAGACCATGATGCTGCTGAGTCTATTTTTCCAAGAAGACCCAAATGGATGCACTCTTCATTACACTCAGTGCACTTTACTCCCTCCAATGCTTTCACCACTTGCCTCATTGTTGGCCTAACACTAGGGTCTGTACTTACACATAACAAACCCAAACGAAGCAACCTCTCAGCTTCCTCAGCATTATACTCACTTTGACCCTTCAAGCGCTCATCAATAGCACAACTCAATTCTCCTTTCTCCACAAGGGAAACCAGCCAATCAACCAATGGTGGTTGATCTGCTACAATAGGCCTTCTCCCACACACTACTTCTAAAACCAACACTCCAAAACTGAACACATCACATGCAGACGACGGTCGCCCGATTCGGACTAGTTCCGGCGCCAAGTACCCCAGAGTTCCTATCACTCTTGTTGTGTCAGCCACATGTTCTTGGTGATGCAGCCTTGCAAGCCCAAAATCCCCCAATCTAGCATTCATGTCCCTGTCAAGTAGCACATTACTAGATTTGATGTCCCTATGCAAGACCTCAACTTCCCAACCCTCATGTAGATACAAGATTCCATCAGCTACATTTTGCAAAACTCTAATTCTCTCTTCCCATCTCAGCAGCATGGTCTCTTCACACTCAAAGATCCTCTTGTCCAAGCTCTCATTCACCATGTAATCATAAACCAGTAACAGTTTCCCTCCTTTTCTTTTGCTCCACCCTCTGAACCCCACTAAATTCCTGTGCTTCATTCTTCCTACGCTTGAAATCTCTGCCAGAAACTCTCTCATTCCGTGGCGAGTCTCGTGATTGATGCTCTTAACCGCAACCTCCACTCCCTTCAAAACACCCTTGTACACTTTCCCACTTGTTCCAATCCCAATCACTTTCTCTTCACTGAATCCACTTGTTGCATCACAAATCTCCTGATAGTTAATCCTATGAGGCCAATACTCCAACTCCCAGTCTTCAAAACTTTCCTGCTTCGCTCCTCTTTTGGTTCTAAACAAGCTGAAGAAAACCACCAAAGCACAAAATCCACCCACAAAAAAAGCCCCAAAAGTTATACCTACAATAAAACCATTTGATCTAAACACCAATCTCTTTGGATGCACATACATAGGCAAATGCTTGGTACTCAAAGCATCACCAATTGAAAAATTAGAATTACTAAAACTCCAAGCCAAGATTCTACAAATGTCCACCATTCTCCCAGTTGCTCCAGAAAACCCCACGTACATTTCATCCTCCAAAACCCAAGAAAGGTTAATAAACTTACTAATCAAAGGCCTATGAGGCTTCTTTTTCCCAGCAGGGGCCATAGTAACATTAATCACAGAATCCTCAAACTCAATCCAAACCTGATAGTTTCTACCATCAGCCAGCTTCAAACCCTCCAACTCCTCACCCTCTCTCCCACCCCAGAACCCAGCAGGCTCCGAATACAACGAAATCATGGAATTCAAGTCCACACCCACATGATTATCATTCTCCTCGTTGAAATCCTCGTTCCTAAAATCATCAAACTCAACCGCCAAAACATGGTTGGAGGAGTTACCTGAAGTGGAGCGGTTAAAGAGGCCCAAGTAGTTCCCCGAGAGTGCTCCATTTATGGCCATCCTAGGCGAGAAGATAAACGCGAAACCATGCGCCACGGGGAAGTTCTCGCAAGGGGCAACGGAGAAGATGAAAGAAGTTGCAAAAGGAAGAAGAGTGGAAGAGTTTGGAGGCTTCGTTGGTATTGTGTGAGGGTAAAACGCACGCCCTATGGAGAAAAAGGTCTGGTTTGTGAGCGTGAGGATTGAGTTCTGAATGGTGGCGTTACCCTCGAGTTTTATGTTGGAGGAGTTGAAGTCTCTGTTGTAGACAAATTCAGTTGCTGACTCTGAAGTCAGAACATGGAGAGTTATGTTAAGCAAGAGGAAAAACAAGGTACGATGAGACATTATGGTTGGCCAGAGAATGAAGAAGAAAGGCTAGTTAACGATGCTGCAACCAACAAGTGAAATCTAGATTCTTTCGTTTGACTTAGATTCGTTCATTTACAACAACATTCGCAATGGTTCTGGTTGGTAGGTGACTAGGTGGCGGCCAGAGATAAAGCTGAATCAAAGTGGAAGCTTGGCAGTGGCAACATTCACAAAATACATTAAAAAAAATAAATAAAAAAAAATCAAATTAGTGGTGGCCACCATAGTCAAATATTATTTTCTATAAATAAATAAATCACTGAGAGAGTAAACGTTCAATTTATTTTTTTTTCGACAAAGATCCAACTAGATAACCGATCTATGAAGTCGTAATAAGTGGGTTAGTTAAAGGAGCTTTTTAAAAATAAAAATAAAAAAAACATGGGACTCGTTTACCTTTGCTTCATTTTTAAATTGTTGTTTAATAATATATTAACATATTATCACTTATCAGCATGTTAATATTAAAAGTTTGCATTATAAAAGCTTTTATTTTTGAACCGAGAATGATTTGGCTCTTTTTTTCAAAGGAGCGTAGGAGGTTTGAGTGTTTGAATTATTTTTTTATTTTTAGAAAACGGACAAAATGAAGAAACAAAAGAAAAAGAAAAACATGTAAGCCTCAAATCCTAGGAAAATAGATCCCAGAAGCATCTACTTGAAGGAAATTAGACAAGAACTGAGGCGTTGTAACGTAATGTCACTATCGCGCTTAACCACGTTTTATTATTTACAAGATTCAAATAAAAAATCTTGTTTAAGAAAATCAAATTCAACTTCACTTAAATTAATAATTTATTTGTCGTTTTGAAATGTAATGGATTAAAGAGTTTGATTTTTTTAAGTTACCAAAGCAATACAACTTAGATGTATCATAACCTAACTTTCACCATTGAAAATAAAAAAATAACTTTCACCCTCTACTATTTATAGAAAAGAAAGAGAGAGGAAAAAAATTGAAATTTAAATTAGTTGAAAAAATAAAAGAAAATTTTTATTTTAAAGTAATTTTCTCGGTTTACCAAAAAAGGTAATGTTTCTTCTCTTTTTATTTTTATTTTCTTTTTAACTAAATAAAAAAGATATCATTATCGTTATTTTTTCCTACTAATTTTTTTTCTTTTCAACCAAACATACTGTGAATGATAATAGAATTTCATTTGAAAATCTAACTTCAACTACCACGTTTTCAACACACGAAGTGTGTTTTATTCTATAATTTGATGAATATTTTTATCTACAACTACAAGTCAACACGATACATGCATTCTTAATTTGATTAATAAAAGAATTACAATTGTTCCATTACAAAATTAAGAAAAATATGTCTTGAGGGAAAAGTTGTTAGTGAGTTAAAATCGTATACGCTTCAAAGTATGGATGAAAAAGAAGTCTACGTTTCAGATTATACTAACCGAAAGTATAATTGAAAAAAAGAATGTCTATTAAATACTTATTGAATTTAATTAAAATACATTACACAATTTATACTATTGATATTTTTTTATATATAACCCACTAGGATAGATTGACCTAAGACAAAAATAATTTAATAATTACAACACTACAAGAAATGTTACATGTAGTGACATACAAAAAATGTCACTATAAGTATAATATATGTAGGTATATGTCTATTTGACATATAGTTACACACAATTTTAGTGTTGATTTTAAATAAAATTTAACAACATATTTTGTGTGTCACTATAGTTTATACCCACACTTTTTAATAATATATCAATATATATTGTAGTTATTGTGTGGGTAAAAATATTTTTTAGTGACATTTATAGTGTTACTATAGGGTGTGTATCACTGCATAACAATTTTGTTGTAGTGCAAGTTGGAGTAAATGTATGAAAATTTTAATTCAATCTTTACAACAATAAAAGTCAAGGATAAATATTGATTGTTTAGATCTCTACTAACAACAATCAATAGTTGACTTTCATACTTTGTTTTAGGCGGCATTCATCAACACTTATCAAAGGTTGACATGTATTTTTAAATGTTGATTTACAACTTTCGAGGCATATGTAGAAACTTCTAAACCTTGGTAATATCTCTAAACTTAGCCTATAAACCTTGATAACACACGTATTTCAGTCAAACCTTATCTTCTTTCTCAACACATTGTACTTTACAATTGCTTCTTTAAACTCCTTAATAGAACCAAATTCCAATCCTAACTTCCATTTGAAGTCTTTGTTCAGCAAATCCATATTAAACCTCTCATATTTCCTACGTAGGCCATCATCTTCAAAGTCATCGCTTTTTAGAGTCTCACTAGCACATCCATGCTCAATATCTTCTTTTACTCTTTGTGAATTATAAAAATCACCAACATTTACAAAACCTTTGTTATGCAGTCCAAAGTTCTCTCAATTTCTATTCGGATCCTTTTTTCTACCACCTTTTCCTTTCTTTTTTTCTTCCAGCAACAACATTAGCACCAGCAGCATCCCTAATACCAACATCATTTCTAGCATTTCCAGCAGCACCAATATCATCATTCCCAGCAACACCAACATTATCATTCACAGCACCATCAACATTTCGAACACCAGCAGATCTTTTATGTGCATCGCTTTGTAGAGCACTTGGTAAGTCACATTCAGGGGTGGACATTCCAACACCCTCTTCATCCTTAGAAACTCAAACTACTTCAACTTTGACAAATTCTAAGTCAGGCTTGTGAACACTATGAGCAACATCTTCCTGCTCCTCCTCAAGATTATCATTTTGTTTCCTTACAACTGTCTTCTTTCGAGTACGTTTGACTCGACCAAATTCAAGAACTTCTATATCAAGTTCATCATCCAATCCAGCAACTCTCTCCTCCTCTGAATCATCTAACCAAACATCCCTCATAGAGTAATCATCATTATTAGAGAAATTGTCCCCAACAACACCTTCATTGCCACCATCACAAACTGTAAACATTTTCACTTCCATATTGTTAGTAATTGCAAAGTTTGTCTTATCTAATGCAACATTATTACAATTTATCTCTTTGAAATTAGAAGCACCAAATTTCCACCACAGCCTAATAGAATGTTCTCCATATGCTAAGTCTTCTTTTACAATTTCCAAGGCTTCAAAATAGGACCGTGGGGAGTAAAATTGTAACCCCGGAACGGGCCATTCCGGATTCAGAACAAGTCGTTCCGGTCCCTCCTGAAAGTCTATAAATAGTGGCCCTTGCCTTCCCAAAGACACACCTACAAACACCTAGACTAGGGGTGGGTAGATGGACCCGGGTCCGCGAACCGGTCCGTAAGCCCGCGGATTTCACGGATAACGGACTCGTTTTTTCAAATCCGTATGATTATGTCTAATTTTTGAGCCCGGTCCGTTAAGTCCGCGGACTTGGCGGATTTAATCCGCGGGCTCGCGGGCTAGTCCGCGGACTTCACATTTAATATTTTTAAATATTATGATTTTAATATTAAGTTGTGTATTTAATTTTTTAAAATTATTATGACATTAAAATTATGTTTAGTTGGTATATATTTGTCATTTGAATGATTTTTATGACATTTTGATGCTTTTATTATTGAAAGTTTGCTACTATTATTTAAGTATTTGTAATTATTTTTATTTTAATATTTTAATATTTA